AAAAAATCTACCTTTCACAAACTGTTTCTTTCCTATAGCTACGATGAGAATATCAGCCCTGCGACAGTGTTCCTTGATATCCTGAGTTCTCGAGTGGCAAATTGTGGTTGTTCCGTGGTGCCACATAAAGAGAGCTGCAGCGGGCGAGCCAACGATCTTCGAGCGGCCCAGCACCACAACATTCTTACCGCGCACATAGTCCGGATCACCTGCAGCAAGTAAATAAAGTAAAGTAAAGCTGATACGAAGCAGGAGGAACTTGCGAACCTGTTGCTTTTTGGACAAGATACAAGCATCCATTTGGCGTACACGGGATGATTGTGCGCTGCAACTCGCCACGCATCAAACGACCAGCATTTTCTCTAGTCAGCCCGTCTACGTCCTGGAATACAAATACGATCGAGAACATGAGAAGACCTAGAAACAAGTGATAGATGCAGAAGTCCAGCGGTAGAAATCAACATGAGCGGAAACGGCGATCACCTTAAGCGGGTGAATTTTGTCGATGACCGCATCTGCGTCAATTGGATTTTTGCAGTCCAGCGGCAACTGAAATAAAAATTTAGCGGTTTTCACATCACAAAATTCTGATAAATTCGAGCTGAGAATTGCTGAGTGAACATATTGAAGATTCGCGAAAGCATTTGGCCCCTACAGCTAAGCTTCAATTTGTTTTTCGCGAACTTCGCAGTTTGCCAGACACTGTCCACTGAGTCCGTAGAAGAAAACTTGAAGTTGCACTCGTTCCACTAACGATTTTCTCTGCTCTCAAAACCAACCAAAAGACAGGAACAAAGCAACATAGTCGATAAGCCAGCAGATAGGCTAACAAAATATGAAGCTGGATGAAAAGTAAGTTTGGTCGTTTTTGACGTTTTGTAGGAAATTACAAATTGATTTATGTAGAAACGTATGGCACCGTGCGAATGAGCAAATCAAAGAGAATCTAAAGGTGAACTCTGTTTCAGCGCCAGTCATTTTGACAACGAAATTATCCAGGAAAATAGAATAGTCAGACTTCTGCATCGAATTTCCGAAGAATCGTGTATGGCAAGGAGCTGAAGATGCATGTAAAACGTGTGACTAGATTCCACACAGCAAATTATGAATTTTGTAACCATTGGCGCGGCTTTAGATGGAATTTCAAGCGATTTGGAAGCCCTAAAACTGATTTCCAGCGCAAATGCCTGGAAACTCTCGCATTTTTGGGTGCAGAAATTCATAAACAGTAGATCACAACCTCCATTGTAGTTCGCTATGTAGCCAAAAGCTGTATATATT